ACACCACAAACACAAATTAAATTGACCTATTTACACAATACCACACCACACTCTACACACAGGTAATCCCACAAGCAGGCGCCAAACACATGCACCATACACTTTCCTGGCCCTTTTGTCCTCTGGTATCCCACTTGTGGAGACACCAGAGACAATTTAAAAGCAAACACAGCGCAAGCATGTTATTACATTTGCTTGCGCTGCGCAGAACAAATACAGGGCCTTTTTCTAAAGCCAGAGCTCTTCAGCGGGGCTCTGCACATTGAACCAACATGCTCACTTTGAGAGGGGGCGTGCTTGTCATTAGTGATGGCAAAACACACCCTCTCTGGCCCCGCCCCCTTCTTGGGGGGCCGCTCTAATTGAAAAATGCCCGGGCCTAATTTTTTTCCCAGTCCGGCCCTGCTCCAATGCAATGTGGCGAGATTGGTCTCGTCACATCTCTCCCCTTTTCCAAACAGACTAACAGGGTATCTGACCTCCTGCCGGTCAGTGCCCTTGTTAGTCCAGCAGCCCACCCACAAGACATAATCAACAGCACAGCCCACCCACAATAAATGGTTACTGCACCTGGGTAGAGGAGAAGCTTGTCCATGTCCAGGTGCCTCACCACGGCAGTGCTGGGTACGGGTACGCTGACTTGGTGGGATGCTGCATGGGCAGAGACCAGCGGCACTCTGCCCTGTTGCCAGCGCTACTGGGAGGGTAGCCTGGTTGAAGCCTGGTTGTTGGAGGGGGAGACCGACTGTCTCCCCTTTAGATACACAGTCCTGCTGCTGGAGACCGACTGTCTCCCCTTTGGACACACAGCTCTGCTGCTGGAGACCGACTGTCTCCCCTTTGGTTACACAGCTCTGCTTTTCGAGACCGACTGTCTCCCCTTTGGCTACACAGCCCTGTCGCTGGGGGGCAGAACCGACCGTCCCTACCCCCTGTGCTGTATGTGCAAAGACCACGGTCCCATCTGCACAGTTGTGGGGCTTACTGTCTCCCCTCCCACTGGAGTAGGAGGAGTTTGCCATTACTGCTGGAGAGGGAGCTGCTCTGTGCTTCATCTGTGTGTTACCAGGACCACACCCGTTTGTGGCTGCTTTGGAGCTTGATTTCTGGGCTTTGGAATTACTACAGCAAGGGGCTCTGCCTGGGCCTAGGCAAGCATGGCCCTCGTGCCTTCCTCCCCAGCCTGGGGATGGAAGGTCAGGCTGGACGAGCTGCAGGCAGTGCTGGCTTTTGGGGAAGGTAAGGCGGATACCAGGGGCCTGTCTTGGACTGAGCATCAGGCCCTCTCCCGGCAAATACGAAACCAGGTCTCCCTGTTGGAGGAACTGGCGGGGGGGATGTCTAGGAAGCTTACAGCATGGAAAAGGGAAGTGGGGGTCCCCCAGGGAGCTACGGCCCACACCAGGGCCGATATCCAGCTGCCCTCTGGGCTGCTGGCTGAGTGCCGTGAACTTGCCAGCAGTGGCCTCCACTTCCTAGAACAGCCCCCCCCGTCCCTGGAGGTGGGAGAGGGTACCGAGGAGGAGGTAGTCCCTGAGACCCCCCTGAGGTGGCTAGTGCCAGCAAGACCCCTCAGGCCTCCCTCACCTATGCTGAGGCTGCAAAGGGTGAGGGGGTTGAGGCTAGGGTCTTTATGGGGCTACCTTCTGACAGGCTCCGGGGTCTGCTTGTGTCCCTGAAGGCCCAGCATGCCGAGGCAGACTCTGGCCTAGCTGGGGTCCAGGCAGAGCTAAGGGAGCAGAGGGAAAAATCAAACAGGACCTCTAATTACAAAAGGGCCGCTATAGCTGAGAAAAAATTAGTGGAGCAGCATCTATCCTACACCCTGCTCCAGACTGAAAAGAAAATAGCAGACATCCAGGCCATCCTGCAACAGAGAGCCAAGGACGCTGCGAGGTCCAGGAGGCAGAGGGCTATGGAGGGCAGGAAGGACATGTCCCCAGGTGAGGAGTCCAGCAAGGACTTGGATTCCAACTCCCATCACTCACCTGGGGAGCCGTCTACCTCTGCCCTTGCTACTCCAGGGGGCGCTGCTGAGACGGAGGGGAAGGCCAGAGAGAAGGACAGTGAAGAGGAGTGGGACGGAGAGAAAGGTGAAGAGTGGCAGCTGAAAGTGCAGGACAGAGGTCGAGGGCTGATTAAGGAGTCTCTCCTCAAGTTTGGAAACGAACTTGGGGAGGGCTCCGTAAAGGACAAAAAGAAGAAAAAGAAAAACATCGCCCGGCGTCAGCCTGAGACCTCTGTCAGGGGGTCTGGAGATTCCACAGAGGAGGGTGAGTGCTCAAATGCTGAGTATATGTACAATGATGATGTTCAGGCCTTGCAGAAGCCTGGGGCCAGGGATACTAACCTTGCAGGTGGCAACACCTGTATGCCCCAGAAACCTGCACAACCTGCCTCTGTGGAAGTATCTGGGCCCCCCGCCGCCCTCCATGGTGACAGGGAGACCATCCCCGCCGGTACTATGGCGTGTACCGGTGATCCCATGGAGGGGTCCTTCCCTTGCTCCCTTCCCACTCCCTCCCTTCCCTCTGACCTTCCTCTCCGTGTGGTTGCGTCCCCTGGAGTGGCTGGTACCTCTGCCTCCTGTCCTCAGGCGGCTGCTGGGCAGGATGGCACTGGATGGAGCAGTCTGGAGCAGGGTGATGGCCCTCCTTTTCCCTCTGCTCCCTTGGAGCAAGCTCGACTGCTCTCCCCTACCAGCAAGTCTCCTCCCCTGTTTGTCCCCAAGTCTGTTTCCCTGGATGTGTCCAAGTTTGTCTTCCAGTCTGTTCCCCCTGCTTCCCTATGTGTTCCCCTTATGTCTGAATGTGTAACCAGTCCCCCTGTTGTTCCTGTTGTTCCTGTTGTTCCTGGTGCCGCGGGTGCCGCTGGCGCTATGGAAGACAGGACTGCAGGGGACTCCCATCATCCTCAGCCAGCAGTCCATACTGAGGAAACCACCAGTGGAGGTAAGAAAAGTATGACTAACATTGTGTTTGACTCCACTGGTGGTTTAGGGATGGCTGAAGAGGATGGGAGTATGGATGTAACTGTAAATGTAATGATGGGACCTATTGGCCTTAGTAAAAAGGTCCACAGCCAGCCTGTTTGTATTAATGATGTTGCCCCTGCCCCTGGTGTTGTTGCCCCTGCCCCTGGTGTTGTTGCCCCTGCCCCTGGTGTTGTTGCCCCTGCCCCTGGTGTTGTTGCCCCTGCCCCTGGTGTTGTTGCCCCTGCCCCTGGTGTTGTTACCCCTGCCCCTGGTGTTGTTGCCCCTGCCCCTGGTACTATTGCCCCTGGTGGTGTTGCCCCTGCCCCTGGTGTTGTTGCCCCTGCCTCTGGTTATGTTGCCCCCGCCCCCGGTACTATTGCCCCTGCCCCCGGTACTATTGCCCCTGCCCCCGGTACTGTTTCCCCTGCCCCTGGTTATGTTGCCCCCGCCTCAGGTTATGTTGCCCCTGCCCCTGGTTCACTGGAGTTAGTTGGTACACAGGTGGCGGGCACGAGCACGGGCACAGGCACCCTGACAAAGGGTGCCGTGGTTATAAATAGTTTAGACGCACAAGCAGGTACACGGGTTCCCCTTAGGCACTCCCAGGTTGTCACCCAGGGTTCTGGTGTGACCGAGGCCTCTGGTTCAGCGAGGGGATTCCGTCCGAATCATTCCCAGATGGCGGGTCCCGGTGCGCCCAATGCTTGGGCATCTGGGCCACCTCGCCTCTCTGCGGACGGGCCTGCTACGCGTCCTCAGGTTTCCTTTGGGAACAGGAGGAACGTGGTACGGCTCATCTGTGGGGGTGAGACCCAGGTGCCTGACAGACGGTGGCTGGTGACCCGGCTAAAGGATATGGGATTTGCGCCCGTGGACCTGTACTCGCTCATCCATGCCTCGGGCACCCGGGAGTTCGACGTCTCCTTTATGACGTTGCAGCTCCTGGATCGCTTCTGGGCTGGGTGGGAAGCGGCCAGGTCTGCACAGGGTACAAAGTGGGCAGGATTCACCGCTGTGGCCATTTCTCGCCAGGGTCTTAAGAAGGTCACTTTCCTGGTGAGAAATTAATCCATCCCCATAGCAGACATCCTTGTTTGGACTAAGAGGTTTGGGGATGTTAAATCCCCCCCTGTTAAAATCTTAGATGAGGATGGGATTTGGACAGGCGGATGGACTGTTTCAGTGTTGCTGCGGGAGATTCGAGGTGTCACACAGCATATGCCTAATAGTTTTTTCATCGGGGCTGACCGGGTATCCTGTTTTTACCCTGGTCAGCCCAGGGTATGTCACAAGTGCGGATCGTACAGGCATTACAGCAATGCCTGTACGGTCCTCAAATACACTATGTGCGGCGCTGTGGGGCACCTCCGGGACAGCTGCAGGGAGATCCGGTGTCATCTGTGTTCAGAGATGGGTCACACGTACCGCACCTGCCCCGAAGCCCAGCACAATGTAGAGTCCATCTGGAGTCAGGAGCCGGTGGAGATGGACTCTGCTGGGTTAGGGGTTCAGGTAGCATCGTCATCTACAAGGCCCATCTCTGGCACAAGGGTTTCCCTGCCCCAGCAACAACCCATTCTCCCCTCGGTCTCTGTAACATCTCAGGACCCTGGGAAGGCCACAAGTTCACGTCCCCTCACGAAAAGTGTACGTAGAGAACGCACTACCTCCACAGCCATTATGGCTCCCCCTAGACCCCCTCCCCCTAGGCCCCCCCCCTCCTAAATTCTCCACGGTGAAGGTTACCCCCACTGAAAAGTCCCCAGATGCACGTCCCTTAGATGCACAGTCCCTAGAGTGGAGCACGGTGAAAGGTAAGAAACCCCCCCCCTCCAAGACCTCGACACTGCCCTCACCCCGGAAGATCGCCATACCCCCTGCGGTGAAACCCCCGAAAGGGGGAGACGCCACTTATAAGGGTGGTGTGGCACGGGCGTCATCCTCCTCTTCGGGCTTGCAGGAGGCCCCGGTGCCCGTATCTAACAGGTACGAGGCACTGTCCTCCAGCTGGGCCGACTGTGAGTACGAGGAGGAGATGGCGAACCTCCCCGAGGTGGGACAGGAGGTGCTTCTGAGAGACGACGGGCCACTGTATCCCGGAGTCTCAGTGAAGAGGTTCCTCGGTTCCGACACGGAGGAGGAGGGGTACCGCAGAAGGAAGGGAAAGTCTCCTTATACTTAATGCCCTTATGGCGACTTTTCCTGTACTCTCTGTGGCTACGGTGAATGTAAACAGCATTAAGTCCAGCAGGGCCCCCTTTTTGGTTTACGACCACCTCAGCCGGGCTCCGTACAATGTCATCTTGGTACAGGAGACCCGGCTGGAAACCCTCGCGGCCCTGCACGCTGCAAAGCGGGACTGGAGATGGGGGCCCTCCCACTTCTCTCTAGCCACAGAGAGATATGGGGGAATCGCCATCCTATTTAAGGACGTTGATGTTAGCATCAACAGGGTTATTGAGTTGCAAAAAGGACGGTGTGTGGTTTTAGATGTCTCAATGGGCAGGCAACCTTTCAGGATAATTAATATGTATGGCCCCCAATCTAAGTGGGAGAGGAAGCGCCTGTTTATTGAGATAGAGCCTTACCTTTATACATCCCAGCAAATCCTGTTTGGCGGTGACTTTAACACCATAACTAGGCCTCAAGACAGGAGAGACGCCACTCAGAGGCTGGGGTATGACTCCTATTTTTTAAATAAGATGGATAGTCAGGCTGGATTGGTCGATGTGTACCTTCATCACACTCCCAATCCCACGGGTGGGTACACTTATCACAGAGGTAGCTGTCAGAGTAGGATAGATAGGTTTTTCTTTAAGGAGAATTTCCCGGTGGCGGCACCCGTGCTTACACCGGTGGAGTTCTCCGACCATCACATTTTTTCTTGCGAGTTGAACGTCTATAGTACCCCACCTAAGGGTAGAGGGATCTGGCGGCTAAATTCAGACCTCCTGGTGGAACAGAGGGTTCAGCAAGCCTTCATGGAATTCTTTCGCGATCAGATGACATTGGCCGACTTAGGCCAAACGAAGTCTGAGTGGTGGGAGATGGTGAAGGCCAGAACTCAACGGCTGTTTCTGAGTGGTGGGAGATGGTGAAGGCCAGAACTCAAAGGCAGTGGCTGAGTAACAGGCAACAGAGGGTTGTAGTTAATGGAATATATTCGAAGTTTGGACTTGTCACCAGTGGGGTACCTCAGGGATCTGTACTTGGACCCATTCTCTTTAATATTTTTATTAGTATTATTGCAGAAGGTCTTGATGGTAAGGTATGTCTTTTTGCTGATGATACTAAGATATGTAACAGGGTTGATGTTCCAGGAGGGATAAGCCAAATGACAAATGATTTAGGTAAACTAGAAAATGGTCAGAATTGTGGCAACTGACATTTAATGTGGATAAGTGCAAGATAATGCATCTTGGACGTAAAAACCCAAGGGCAGAGTACAGAATATTTGATAGACTCCTAACCTCAACATATGAGGAAAGGGATTTAGAGGTGATTATTTCTGATGACTTAAAGGTAGGCAGACAATGTAATAGAGCAGCAGGAAATGCTAGCAGAATGCTTAGTTGTATAGGGAGAGGTATTAGCAGTAGAAAGAGGGAAGTGCTCATGCCATTGTACAGAACACTGGTGAGACCTCACTTGGAGTATTGTACACAGTACTGGAGACCGTCTCTTCAGAAGGATATTGATACCTTAGAGAGGGTTCAGAGAAGGGCTACTAAACTGGTTCATGGATTGCGGGATAAAACTTACCAGGGAAGGTTAAAGGATCTTAACATGAATAGCTTGGAGGAAAGACGAGACAGGGGGGATATGATAGAAACATTTAAATATATAAAGGGAATCAACACAGTAAAGGAGGAGACTATATTTAAAAGAAGAAAAACTACCACAACAAGAGGACATAGTCTTAAATTAGAGGACAAAGGTTTAAAAATAATATCAGGAAGTATTACTTTACTGAGAGGGTAGTGGATGCATGGAATAGCCTTCCAGCTGAAGTGGTAGAGGTTAACACAGTAAAGGAGTTTAAGAATGCGTGGGATAGGCATAAGGCTATCCTAACTATAAAATAAGACTAGGGACTAATGAAAGTATTTAGAAAATTGGGCAGACTAGATGGGCCGAATGGTTCTTATCTGCCGTCACATTCTATGTTTCTATGTTTCTATGTTTCGCAATCTCGCCCGGAACATGCAGTCCTCCAGGTACAAGATGTATCTGGGCTTGCTTGGGAGGTTAGACATCCTGATCTCGCAGGGAGGTGACCCCGAGGACATTGCGGCAGTTAAAAACCTGATGAGGAGTTATCAGTATGACAGGTACGCCTCCCTTGTAAAAGAGAGAGATCATGGGTCATACCGCTCGCCCGATCCTTATCTTAGCTGCAAGCGGAAGGAAGGTACCAAGTCCATCCCTAGTCTGCGGGGCACCGACGGGACCCTAGAGGAGTCTCCTCGCGGGATTCGGAAGGTGGTCGCGACTACTACATTGACCTCCTCGGAAAGGGCAGCCCCCAATGTAGCGAGGAGGGAACCTCCCACGGGAGAAGGGTAGATGACTTCTTGAGCGAGCTCACGCTCCCTGAGCATAGCGACCTCTCTTTTGACGAGTTGGTCAGCGAGATCACCATAGAAGAGGTCACAGAGAGTATCCAACAGCAGAACAAGTGTAAGTCGCCAGGTCCTGATGGTCTGACGGCCGAGGTTTACCAACAGTTCTGCGACCTCTTGGCCCCTCATCTGACCGAGGTGTTTAATGAGAGCTTGGCTCAAGGATTATTGCCACCCTCGATGAGGACTTCTGCCCTGATCTTGCTGTCCAAGCCGAACGTGCTCGACACAGCGGATGTGGGGAACTGGCCCCCCATATCCCTGTTAAATGTCGACAGGAAGGTCCTGGCAAAGATTTTGATGAAACGAGTACAGGGCCTAGCGAGGCGTGTCCTATCCACCTCCCAGTACTGTTCAATCGAGGGCAGAACTGTCTTTGATGCCGTTTTCGAAGTCAGGGAAGCCCTCGAGAAGTGCAGGGACGGAGAAAGGGGGATATACCTTCTGGCACTTGATCAGTCCAAAGCTTTTGATCAAGTAGATCACCGTTATCTGTGGTCAGTCTTGCGGAAGTATGGCTTGCCGGGAAAATTCGTCAATTGGATAATCACCTTGTACAGAGGGGCCGAAAGCTTCGCTCTTGTGAACGGGTGGAGGGGCAGGGCGTTTAGGATCCGATCCGGGGTCAGGCAAGGCTGTCCTCTCAGCCCACTCTTGTACGTGTTTGCAGTCGATCCCTTCATCCGAAGGGTCGAGGCAGGCACGTTACAGGGAGTGGCCAGGGCTCCGGAGAGGCCTTTATGGGTTGTTGCCTACGCTGATGACATCTCCATAGTGGTCTCCAATACTCGGGAGGCCACGGAGGTGGATGATTTAATCCTAGCGTATTCTGCCGCTTCAGCCTCTCATGTCAACAGGGACAAGAGCGTAGTTTTCTGGTGCGGGAAGGAGGGGGACCAGTTCCCTCTTCCAGACGGTTTCCCGAGGGCCCAGCCTGAAATTAAGATCTTGGGGGTGGTGTTCGGACCAGGGGATCTGGCTCTCAGGAACTGGACCGAACGGCTTGCCATAGCTTCTAGCAAGGTGGAGGAGAGCCACAGGTGGAAACTGACGTTCAGAGAACGGGTGAACCTAATCAAAACCTATGTTCTGACCGTATTCGGCTACGTCAGTAACATCTTCCTTTTGCCCAGGTCCCTCCACGCTCGGATGTTTGCGCTGTTCTTCCGCATGTTGTGGGGGAACAGGCTGAACCTCATCAAAAGAGAGGTCACTTACCTGGCCAGAAAGGACGGGGGTCTGGCCATGGTCAACCCCATCGTCTTCTTTACTAACACCTTCCTGAAAAGGAATTTCGGGGCTCTCCTGAAGGACGAGCAGCCTGGCTGGGTATGTATATTCAGGGAGTGGGTCACACCTTTCCTGGTGGACTGGTTTCAGGGGTGGGAGGGTGAAGAGCATGAGAGTTCGGCATTCTAGCTATCTTCCGTCTTCGGTCATCGAGGGAGTGGGAATTCTGCGCAGGTGGAACGTCACGGTGGAGGAGGTTCGGGACACTCCCAAGAAGCTTCTCGACGGGAGGGTCCTGGCCACCCACTTTGGCATTCAGCTTGCTTTGAAGGACTGCCCGCCAAGTACTCTCGCCTCGGGGTTGAAAAACATCAACTCCAGGCGCCTTCCGGAGAAATACCGAGACGTGGCGTTTCTCTCCTTCCACGGTAGACTTTACGTTCGAGGGAACTTGAAGTACAGGAACATAACGGATCGTGGTTGTCCTCGGGTGGAATGTTCCGGGGAAGTGGAGTCCATGGACCACTTCCTCCTCGAGTGCCCCTTTAACGTACAGGTCTACAAAGAGGTCTCAGCCGCCTTAGGCATCCCCTGCTTATCCCGCTGGACTTATGCGGAGTGGGCGTACGGGACGTCCAACTCAAGGGGAGGGCTTTTGATTTGGGCACTCTTTATGTAGTCAGTTCAGTGGTTAAGTATTTCACTTGGATGGCAAGGTGTCAGGTTTCCCTTCAACATAAAGACCTTTCCTGTCAGGTGGTGGTAGCAGACATTCTGAGGGCGGTTCGTGGGATCTATACCACCGAAAGGGCCTCTATGGATCCCACCATTTGGCAGCATTTGTGGCGAAATCTCAAGGTCCACCCGCCTTGAACCGCTCCATAGGCGCCCTTGTCTTGGTGAAGGGAATTCCAAATCTGTCTTCACCTTTCCCCCGTAGATTTTGAACTGGTTTTTCTTTTCATGGAAGGCTGCCACCTTTAGCAGACGAGTACCTTCCTCTGCGTCTAGGTAGTGCAGTGTAGTTAGGTTATGGTTATGGTTATGCACAGGTTATTTTTGGTATTGCTTGGGTTAGGGTGGGTTTCTGGTGTATGGACAAATTGAAAAAATTTACTTTGGGTGGGGGTAAAAAAAAACAAAAAAACAAAAAACACTGGGTTTCTTTATGGACGGAGGGATGGACTCCTTGAGGGTGGTGTACAAACTGGATTTCATGTGGGTGGTGGGTCTATGGACAAAATTTTGATTTCATGTGGGTGGTGGGTTTGGATGTGATGAACTGAGAAAAGGACTCCATTTGGGTGGTGGGTTTGGGGGATGGACGGAGGGATAGACTCCATGAGGGTGGTGGGTTTTATGAATTGAAAATGGACTCCATTTGGGTGGTGGGTTTGGGTTTAAAGTTTGGGTTTAAAGTGTAGGTGGTGGGTTGGTGTTGATGGACGGAGGGATGGACTCCATGTGGTTGGTGGGTTTTATGAACTGAGAAAAGGACTCCATGTGGTTAATGGGTTTGTTTATGTTTATGTGTGTATTTTATTTCACGCTTGGTTTATGTTTGTGTTTAGCTGGCTGTGGACTCGAGGTCAATTGGGTCCCACCTTGTCCCCCCCTTGTTATGTAAGAGCTCCTTCAGGAGCATTTCAGCCTTTTTTCTCCCTCCCCAAGGCTCCATGAAGTAATGGAGCCCCCCGCCTTTTAATTTATCCCCTTATGATTTAGTTCCCTCCCCCTTTTCTGTTAATCCCTCTCCCTGTTATTCCCAGTTATTTAATTTGGTATAAGTTTACTCCCCTATTAGTGCCCCTTCCTGAGTTTTTATTTCGGTATTTATGTTTCATTTGGTATTATGTTTGAATTGGGTATTATTTCAGTTGATTGTTTATTATTGTTATTTTGTTATTTATTTTGTTATTCTGTTTAATTTTTGAAGCATTTTACAAACTAAATAAAATAAAATACTGTCTCCCCCTGGTACATTAAGCTGCCGCTGGGGAGAGGGAGTAACAAGCTCCTCTCCCATATATACTTCCAGCTGCGGGGGAGGGAGACCGACTGTCTCTGCTCCCAATACAGAGTCCTGCTGCTGGGGAAAGGAGACTGGGCTCTCTATTCCCGGTAGGACATTCTGCTGCTGGGGATTGGAGACTGGGCTCCCAATTCCCTGTTTTATCTCCTGCTGGGGAATGGAGACAGGGCTCCCAATTCCCAATAATCTGTGCTGCCGCTGGGGAATGGAGACTGGGCTCCCAATTCCCAAAACATCATACTGCCGTTGGGGACCTGAGCCGACTGCCCAGCATCCCTGTAACTCCCCCTGCCACTGGGGAGGGAGGACGCTTCTCTCCTCTCCCTGCAAGGAACACTGCCGCTGGGGGACAGGACCACTTGTCTCTGCCTCCTGTAACTCAGCCTGCCACTGGGGAATGGAGCTCGAGCTCCCAATTCCCTGCAATTCACTCTGCTGCTGGGGGACAGAAGCAACTATCTCTGTCCCCTGTAATTCAGCCTGCCGCTGGGGAATGGAGCTTGGGCTCCCGATTCCCTGCAATATCTCCCACTGGGGAATGGAGCTCAGGCTCCAAATTCCCTGCAATACCGGTGGAGAGACCTCGGTCCCATCTCCACCCGCCACCTGGGGTTCTTCCCAGTAAATCTCAGCAATGTCTTCCCAGCTGAATGGGTCTGGATCTGGGTCTCCGCTTCCCTGCTGAGCCTTCTCACTGGAGTGGAACAGATCTTGGTAGCCCTGCTCCAGCTCCATCTCTCGGGTTACTAGGTGGACCAGGTCTTGCTCAATTTCGTGAGTGTCGTCCCAGTCATACCTGCTCTCCCTCCACTCCAAGAGATCACTGAACCGGGCTTGTGTAGGACAAGCCAGGACCATCAAACTCCTCTCCTTCTGGCTTGTCATGCTCGGCTGTCCAGGGCAGGTACTGTGCCCCATACCACCAGAGCGCCTGGTAGGCATCTTCCAGCCAAATCTCCTGCCATACTCGGAGCTCCAATTCCTTCCCCCATTCATCCAGGGGCTGCTCTCCCAGAAAGGGCATCCGCAGGGCTACTCGCTTCTGCACTCGCTGGTCTTCCTTGGGGAGTCTCTCGCCCCGCTGGTACTCCACAATACCCAGTGCCTGGTACCAGATGCCTTTGCGCAGCGCATCTCGGTCATCCAGGGCACCCTCATCATACTCCACTGCTGGTTCCATCTCGGTGCTGTCAGGGTCGCTATACTGGGACATGCGTTGCTCTAAAATTGTAAAAATCCATGGAATGGTGTCGCCTGTAGCTGTCCTGTTGTCTGTGGGAACGATCCCGCCGCTTGCCACCAATTGTAACGGACCGTTTTGCACAAAAGGGGTAAAAACTGTTTAGGCGATTGGCCCCCTTTTCAGAGATGCAGGCGCAGCTACTGCAGAACATCAAACACACAAACTGCCAATAAGTGAATGCTCCAAACTCCCGAACGGCATCCAATAAAGCACTCTAAACAGACGAACAGGAACCATATGAATTGCTGCTAGCAGACGAATAGGAAAAGCATCCAAGCGGCTTACACTCCTAGCAATCAATCTCTATCAGCATTCAGTAAATCCCCCCAAAGACGAGACAAGGGTCCGTGTTGAGGGTCAAGCAGTGGTCTGTTTAATGAGGGCTACCTGCCCAGTATTTATGCAGGTCTCCCACCTGGGGGACCAAATGGGAGACTGTGACAAGGGACAGACAAGCAGACAAATAGGACACACAGTCACAGTATATTCCCACAATGCATCCTGGCTTCCTCCCCTCTGCCCTGGGAGATAATTGAGAAGTAATTCAATTATCTCCCAAGACAAAGGCAAATCGCCATTATGCACGTGGGGATACTAAAACAAGCATTACTGTTAAAATACACCAGGTAAGACACATTACATTAAAACTATACATTTAACATATCCCCAGATAGCTCAGGTCTGAGCGCACATTATTAAGCGAATGGCGCTCAGACCACACAAATACAGTTTAATCGCCATGGAGCCAAAGTCTTTAATTCCACAAACAGGCTCCATGGCAGGCTATCTGGGTACTTGCACACCGAATACAATTGCAGCACTAAAAGTCCCGAATGCTCCGTTGTTCGGTTCCCGAACGGGTTTGCAGACTTCCAGCCTCAGCGGGGCTTGTAAGACAAAAGTGTCCGCTTTTGGTGTCCTGACGCTGGGTAGAACAAACGCTGGCTACCCGGGGAGCTTCCATAACACCGCCATCGTGTGGCGGCTAGGTGTAACCGCAACTACCCAGTAATTGTCAATTAAGCTGCTTCAGGGAGGTTAATTGCCGGCACACTCCAGCTCCCAGGTGGTCTATTCATTCGTGCGGTTGTTCGGTAGATTGAATCTACCGAACAACTAGCAGAAAAGCATGAATACAGCTTTTCTGCAGGCGAAACAAAGTCTTTTAACATGGGGGCCATAGTCCAAAGGCAGCAGGCGAGCAAACAGGCTTCTCCAATGCAATGTGGCGAGATTGGTCTCGTCACACATTCATATCATCCAATCTCCCGAATGGACCGGTGTTCATATGTCTTGACGAAAAAAGAAGGGTGATCGGCAGTTTCAGCGATGTTCGGTAGGAAAAAGTGTCCGATTATAGTTCCATACGTTTTGCGTGGAACACCGCTGTTCATTCGCGTGTTTTAAAATGTCCGCTGCCTCGTGGTCGGCATACGAACGACGACCACCCTTAGAATGAAGAGGTGTCTGCGATTAACCACAACGTTCTAATTGGGGCCAAGAGGTTAACCAGCAGCACACTTCTCTTCTGGGTGGCCGCCCATTCAGTAGTTTGTTCGGTATAATCCTGCCATAAACGAACAGGGGCATATGGACAGGCATTTCCACAAATGGAGATAAAACAGACGAACCAGCAATAATAGTTATACAGATGGGTCTGTCACATTGTGAATCTGGGCCGGCTGCCCAGCATCCCTGTAGGGCCAGTGGAGAGACCTGATGGAAGACTACAAAGTTACATACCAATGACAAAGTTTGTTCAAGTACCGGACACTACCATACATATTATACAATCCCTCCCCTCTGCTTGGGAGATAATTAGATCAGGAACTGTACTAATCTAATCCAATTATCTCCAATTACAGAAAAAAACCCACTTTTTTCTAAACACCCCAAAAAGTACCCCAATAACAC